AGTTAGTGGGGGGAGAGCTCCCTCTCTTCTCATCTCTTATATAGCTATTGTATGGTTTCCTATTCCTGTGTGTAAGGAACGTATAGAATGTGTCTTTAGTAAATCCTGAGTGTGAGCTGTCCACCAATATAACTTAGCTGAGAAACAGAGTAAGTAAAGGAAGAGAAATAGATGTTTTGTAAGTAGGATTTAGGAGCTCTGACATCTTATTTTTAACTTTTATTCAGTCATTGTAGTTGATTTTATATAATGACTTAAAATGTTTTTCATTCTGTTTAACAGTATTATTTGTTGATATCTATCTCTGTTTGTAAGGATTATGTACCTGATAACTTTACTTTTTGTTTTCCTACAAACTTCACAGTCAGAGGCTTTGGAATCAGAATGCCTGTGGGGTGAAGCCTAGCAGTTTTTCTCCCTTGGGCAGATTACCTCACCAAATATCAATTCCCACCTCTGAAACAAGTGAAATAATAGTACCTACCTTTGGGGGTTGTTGTGAAGCACTTAATATACCTATTACTCAGTATAATTAGTTATTTTTATTCTGAGTAAAGTTTCATTATAATAAGAAATGTGTAGAGTTTAAGTTGTGATGCTCCATCACTACAAAAGATAATGGTTGCTGGCTTTGCTGCTATTTTAATTGAGTTGAAATTCACTTAACATTAATCATTTTAAAGTGAACAGGTCAGTAGCATTTAGTACATTCACAATGGTGTATAACAACCATCTCTAGTTCTAAAACATTGTCATCACCATAAAATAGAGTCCTGTGTCCATTAAGCAGTGACTCACCAGTCCCCTCTCTCTTGGTTCATGGACATTTGGGTTGTTTGCACCTTTTAACTATTTTAAATAGTGCTGCGTTTGTATAGAGTAATGGTTTAGATACTTTTTTTTCAGTTCTTTTGGGTAAATAGGAGGGAAATTGTGAGGTGAGTTGGTAATTTTATGTTCAACTTTGGAGGAGCTACTGAACTTTTATCCACAATGGCCGAAATAATTTACATTCCCACCCACAAGAAGAACTAAAGAGCCTTTTGATGAAAGTGAAAGAGGAGAGTGAAAAAGTTGGCTTAAAACTCAGCATCAAGAAAATTAAGGTCATGGCATCCAGTCCCATCACTTCATGGCAAATAGATGGGGAAACAATGGAAACAGTGAGAGACTTTATTTTGGGGGGCTCCAAAATCACTGTAGATGGTGGCTGCAGCCAGGAAATTAAAAGATGCTTGCTCCATGGAAGAAAAGTTATGACCAACCTAGACAGCATGTTAAAAAGCAGAGACATTACTTTGTCAACAAAGGTCCATCTAGTCAAGGCTATAGTTTTTCCAGTAGTCGTGTATGGATGTGAGAGTTGGACTATAAAGAAAGCTGAGCGCTGAAGAATCGATGCTTTTGAACTGTGGTGTTGGAGAAGACTCTTGAGAGTCCCTTGGACTGCAAGGAGATCCAACCAGTCCATCCTAAAGGAAATCAGTCCTGAGTATTCATTGGAAGGACTGATGCTGAAGCTGAAGCTCCAGTACTTTGGCCACCTGATATGAAGAGCTGACTCATTGGAAAAGACCCTGTTGCTGGGAAATATTGAAGGCAGGAGGAGAAGGGGACAACAGAGGATGAGATGGCTGGGTGGCATCACTGACTCTATGGACATGGGTTTGAGTAAGCTCCGGAAGTTGGTGATGGACAGAGAAGCCTGCAAAGAGTCAGACACGACTGAGTGACTGAACTGAACTGGCAATGTACAGAGCTACCATTCTCCACCTCCTCAACACTTATCCCCCCCACCCCCGCCTTTTTTTTGTTGTTGTTATAGCCATTTTGGCAAATGGGAAATGGTCTCTGATTCCCCTAATGAGTAGTGATACTTTGTATCTTTTCCAAATATTTGTTGGCCATTTATGTATTTTCTTTGGCGAAATGTCTGTGCAAAGTGTTCACTCATTTGTTGAGTTGTCCTTTGTTTTTAAATTGTAAGAGGTTTATATATATATATATTTTTTTTTTTTCTGGCTTCTAGACTCATATGTAATGGGCGTATATATTCTCCTATTTTTTACATTGTCTTTTCACTTAATAATGCCCTTTAGTCACAGTTTTTAGTTTTCATGGAGTCTGCTTTATCTATATTTTTCTCTTGTTGCTTGTGCTTTTAGTGTCATATCTAATAATCTATTGCCAAATCCCAAATCATGTAGATTTACTCCTATGTATTCTTCTAAGACTTTTATGATCTTAGCTCTTATATTTGAGTCATTCTTCTCTTCTGAGTTAATTTTTCTATATGGTGTGAGGCAGGAATCCAATTTCTTTCTCTTTCTTTTTGCTCATGTAACTGACTAGTTTTCCCAGTGCCATCTGATGAGGAGACTCTTCTATCTGTTGTAGTGGTGGTAGTTTTAAATTCTACCTCTTTACTGTAAAGGTACTCTAGTAAAATGATTAAGACCACTGATTTAGGAGACAAAACTTGGATCCAAATCTGGCATTACTACTCACTACCTTGTGACCTTGGGCACATTATTTAAACCTATTAACACATATTTTCTGATACATGTAAAATAATAGAAAAGCCAACTCCATGGCATTATTGTGAGCATCATACTGAATTGTTGTTTTTCAGTTGCTAAGTCATGTCTGACTTTTTTGTGACCCCATGGACTGGAGCACCCCAGGATCCTCTGTACTCCACTATCTCCCAGACTTTGCTCAAATTCATGTCTATTGAATCTGTGATGCTATCTAACCATCTCACCCTCTGCCACCCTCTTCTCTTTTTGCCTTCCATCTTTTCCAGCATCAGGGTCTTTTCCAGTAAGTTGGCTCTTCATTTCAGGTGGCCAAATATTGGAGCTTCAGCTTCAGCAGCGGTCCTTCCAATGAGTATTTAGAGTTTATTTCCTTTAGGTTTGACTGGTTTGATCTTCTTGCAGTGCAAGGGAATCTGAAGAATCTTCTCCAGCACCACAGTTCAAAAGCATCAATTCTTCGGTGCTCAGCCTTTATTACGGTCCAACTCTCTCATCCATAAATGACTACTGGGAAAACCATAGCTTTGACTATACAGACTTTTGTCAGCAAAGTGATGTCTCTGCTTTTTAATGTATTGACGAGGTTTGTCATAGCTTTCCTTTCAAGGAGCAAGTGTCTTAATTTCATGGTTGCAGTCACTGCTTCCACTTTTTCCCCTTCTATTTGCCATGAAGTGATGAGAACAGATTTCATGACCTTAGTTTTTTGAATGTTGAGTTTCAAGCCAGCTTTTTCACTCTCTTCTTTCACCCTCATCAAGAGGCTCTTGAGTTCCTTTTCACTTTCTGCCATTCGATATCGTCCTCATATATGAGGTTGTTATTTCCTCTTGCAGTCTTTATTCTAGCTTGTGATTCATCCAGCCCAGCATTTCTCATGATGATACTCTGCATAGAAGTTAAATAAGCAGGGTGACGATATATAGCCTTCATACTTTTGTCAGTTTTGAACCAGTCAGTTGTTCCATGTAAGTTTCTAACTGTTGCTTCTTGACCTTCATACAGGTTTCTCAGGAGACAGGTAAGATGGTGTGGTACTCCATCACTTTAAGAATTTTCCACAGTTTGCTGTGATCCACACAGTCAAAGGCTTCAGTGTAGTCACTGAAGAGAAGTAGATGTTTTCCTGGAATCCCTTTGTTTTCTCTGTGATCCAATAGAATGTTGAGCATTTGATCTCTGGTTCCTCTGCCTTTCCTTAGTCTAGCTTTTACATCTGAAATTCTTGGTTCACATGCTGTCGAAGCCTAGTTTGAAGGATTTTGAGCACAACCTTGCTAAGATGTAAAATGAGTGAGATGGTGTGGTAGTTTGAACATTCTTTGGCTTTGGAATGAAGACATCTTTTCCAGTTGTGGCCACCGCTGAGTTTTCTAATTTTGCTGACATGCTGATTGTAGCACTTTGACAGCATCACCTTTTAGGATTTTAAATAGCTGACCACATTTCGTCAGAACTCTTCACAATGACTTGTCCCTCTTGGGTAGCCCAGCATGGCATGGTTCATAGCTTTCTTGAGTCACACAAGCCCCTTCGCCATGACAAGGCTGTGATCCATGAAGGGATCACATACTATATGTAAAGTACTTAGCAGGTTTCCTCGCAGTGAGGGAACAGTTTGGCAAACATTACCATCCATATCTGTGATTTTTTGAAGTAATCACTATTTAGTAACAATTAATCTAAATTATAGTCAATCAGTTAGACTAATACTTTAATTCTTCAAAAGGTAAGACTGATGGATCCTCATGAATTGAGATAAATGAGAAAGACATTAACAATGAATGGACACTTACAATATATCAGGTCATTGTGAATGTTATCTGCACCTTCATGATAATTTTTATTTTATAAGAAACTGAGGTTTACAGTGTAAACACTAAAGTGAGTGTAAACTCACTTTACAAGAAACCATCATATTGATCTAGGAGCAGAGGTGTGATTCAAATTCCTGTCTGCTTCATTGGAAGGCTGGCTGCTTCTCTTTACTCTGTTATAATGATGACGACTTAGTGTAGAAAAAAAGATTTAATAAACACATTGCCTGTCTTCCTTTTTGGAACTTCATGTAATATTGAAGTAGGGAAGAGATGAAAAAGGTTCTGTGTGTGTGTGTGTGTGTGTGTGTGTGTTTGCTCATTTGCTTGCATACATGTGACATATATATTTTTGTCATAAAAGCAATGTATAATAATCAGTTCTCTAAGGGAGTATTTTAGTGTGATTTATATATTCTTTTGACTAAACCTCAGACTATAGTTTATTTGTACTTCAGTGGTTTTTTATATAATCAATATTTATAATTCATTCTAACATTTGAATAATTTTTAGTATATTGAAACAAAAAATTTAACATCTTGTAAATTTTTTTTTATTGAGGTTTCTAAGTCCAGTATTTTAAGTGGTATTAAAGAAGATCTTACGATTCATACATTTAGGTTTCTTTTGTGATTCTCTTAGATGTAATAAAGGAACAGAATCGAGAGTTACGAGGTACACAGAGGGCTATAATCAGAGATCGGGCAGCTTTAGAGAAACAAGAAAAACAGCTGGTAAGTAGAACATTAAATTTCAGTTTAACTTTTCTAACAAATTTAGAAGTCAGTGTTGGAGTAATTAGCTAACTAGGAAAAAGACACATGGCAGGTGGTAAGTGATTTACTTTACTAAGAAATGGCATTTAGTACCTTCCTGCAATTTCTGCTTACCTTTGTTTACTGTGTCATTCTCCTGATTTTTATCAGGAGTCTTTATTCTGCTGAATATAAAGTCAAATTATTCTTCTGTCTGTGAAAGACATAAATGCCTAGGAAGAAATAATTGCTTAAAACAGCCATCTTCTTCTCAATCAACAGGAAACATAAAATAGTCCTAGAACACAGGAGACCTACACAATATTGTAAAGCAGTTATTCTCCAGTTAAAAATAAACAAATAAATAAATAAAAGAAAGAAAACAAGAGAGGGTTGCAAGAAAATAACTATGTTAACCAATGGGGTGTCTTACTTTATATTTTAACTCTTATTGACAATGTCTGTGATAGTGAATATACTTTTAAAATAGATTGGCTATCTTTAAGAATTTTTGTTATGTTTTTAAATGTATATTGCTTAAAACATTTTTAAAAACCAACATGGTTGAGGTATAGTTGACATGCAATTGATTGTCCATGTTTAAAGCAAATAATTTGACACATTTTGACATATGTATTAACTCATGAAACCATTAATACAGTCAAGGTAATGAACATATCCATCATCCCCAAAAGTTTCCTTATTCCATTTATAATCGCTTCTACCCATCCGCTTTCTCCCCGTTTTCTCCTCAGTTAGGCAAACACTGGTTGTCATTGTAGATTTTACATTTTCAAGAATTTTATATAGATGAGGTCATAAAGTGATTTCATTTTTATATGGCTTCTTTCATTTGTAATTATTTCGAGCTTAATCAGCGTCATTACATGTATCATCATTTTTATTGATAAGTGTTATTCCAGTGTATGGACATTGCAAAATTTGACTGTCCGTTTACGAGCTAGTGAACTTTTGGGTCATTTCCCGGCTCATTTCAGGGTTATACTGATACTGTGCTACTCTCCTCGTATTTCTGATACTTTTTGGTGCTGGTATATAAAATACATTCTTTTTTTGTACATTGATCTTTTATTCTGTAACCTTCCTAAGCTCACTTAGTCTAGTAGCCTTTTTGTAGATTCTGTTAGGTTTCTACATAGACAATCATGTCATCTGTGTAAATAAAGTTTTTCGTCCTTTTATCATTAAGTATATTAGTTATAGGCTTTTTGTAGAGGCCCTTTCTCAGGTTGAAGTTCCTTTATCTAGTTGTTGAGAGTTTTTATCAGGAACTATTTTTGTCAAGTGCTGTCTTTTTTTGCCTCTATTGAGATGATAATTATGTAGTTTTTCTTCTTTAGTTTGTTAGTATAGTGAATTACATAACTGATGATTTTCCAACGTTGAATCAAACTTTTGCTATTGGGATAAACTTCATTAGTAGTGATCAATTTTTAAAAAAATATTTTATATCAATTTTTTGAAATTTTCATAAGAATATTAGCATCTCTGATCATAAGAACTGTTAATTTGTAGTTGTCTTTTTGTGTGGTGTCCTTATGTAGTTTAACATCAGAATACTGCTGACCTTAAAGCATGAGTTGGCAAGTGTCCCTTTCTGTTTCATTTACTGGAAGGATCTGTGTATTTCTTTTTTAAACGTTTGATCAGTTTCATCAGTAAAGTCATTAGGAGTGAAGTTTTCTTTGTGGATAGATGTTTGAACTAAACAAAAATCTCTTTGTGGCTAGATTTTTAAATTCCAAAATTTGCAATTTTTAGAAAATAGGTATAGAATGGATCAAGCTTTCTACGTTTTGAATGAGGTTTGGTAGTGCACATCTGTCAAATAATTTGTTCATCTCTACTAAATTTTAAGATGTAATAACATTGTGTTTGTAATATTTTCTTGCTATTCTTTAACATCTTTTGGTTGTTAAGTGATGCCCTCCTCTGCATTTTCAATATTTGTCATTGTGTATTCTCTGCCTCAGTTTTTTTCTCTCTTCTGATTGGCAGTGGTTTATCAATTTGATCAATTTCTTAGAAAAAGCTTTTGATCTCATTAATTTTATTTATTTTTTCCCTTCCAAGTTTATAGATTTCGTCTCATGTTTATATATTTCCTTCTTTCGATATACTTTGTGTTTTATATTCTCTGCTTTTTTCTACTTTCTCTATTTTGAAGCCTACTAGATACTCAGTTTTTCTAAATGTAAGCTCTAACATTTACATTTCTAAGAACTGTTTTTACTGCAGCTCACATATTTTGATATGTGCATTTTTATTTTATTAAGTTCAAAATATTATCTCATTTCCTCTGTGATTTTTTTTTTTCTATGTTGTTATTGTTGTGGTCGCGACCCGATGTACTGCAACATGCCAGGCTTGCCTGTCTTCCACTATCTCTCAGAGCTGGCTCAAGCTTATGTCCATTTAGTTGGTGTTGCCATCCAACCAACTCATCCTCTGTCTCCCCCTTCTCCTCATGCCCTCCATCTTTACCAGCATCAGGGTCTTTTCCAATGAGTTGACTCTTTGCATCATGTGGCCAAAGTATTGGAGCTTCAGCTTCAGCATCAGTCCTTCTAATGAATATTCAGAGTTGATTTCCTTTAGAATTAAGTGGTTTGATCTCCCTGTTGTCCAAGGGACTCTCTCCAGAGTCTTCTCAAGCACTACAATTGGAAAGCATCAATTCTTGCATGACTCATTTAGAACCATGTTGCCTAATTTCTGCTTGTTATTTTCCTTTCTTATTTTTCTTACTGCTTTCTAGTTTAATTTCACTGTAGTTAGAGATAGTACTTGTAGGATTCCAATCCTTTTATTTTTTTTGAGCCTTGTTTTCTGATCCAGAATGTGGTATATTTTTGGTAATCCCTTTTTTTTTTTTTAATGTGCACTTGCAAAGAGTATTCTGCTATTGGCGATGGAGTTTTTAGTGAATGTTGGTTAGGTCAAGTTGGTAATAGTGCTTTTGTAAATCTGTATCTTTATAGTTTTTCTGTCCACTTGTCCTAAAATACAGCAATATACTTAAGAAAGGAGTTGTTGATGTCCCTTATGCTACTTGTGTTTTTGTGTTTGTCCTTTCAGTTCTATCAGTTGCACTTCATAAATTTGGAAGCGCTATTTAAGGTGCATACACATTTAGGATTGGTTTGACATCTTTATTAATTCCTTTATTATGAAATGCCCCTTTTTATTCTGGTAATATTCCCTTTTCTTTCTTTTCTTTTTTTTTTAACCTAGTTAATGTAACCACTCCAAATTTCCAGATTTTGCTAAGTATTTATATAGAATATATTTGTTCTATCCTTTTACTTAGCTTTATTTAGCTTTGTTTTGCTAATCAAAGTTGGTTTCTTGAGATAGCATATATTTTTAATGTTCTGAGAAGGAAATGGCAACCCGCTCCAGTATTCTTGCATGGAGAATCCCATGGACAGAGGAGCCTGGCAGGCTACAGTCCTTGGGGTCACAAAGAATCGGACACAACTTAGCAACTAAACAACATCTAATTTGCCAATCTGTCTCTTACTGAAGATAGTAAATGGACCTTTTCATTGAAGATAGTTGTCTGTATTACTAGCTTCAAATCAACCACTGTACTCTTTTTATTTTTTCTTTGCTATCCTCTACCAATTCCTCATTTGATTTATTTTTTCCTACCTACTTTTGGATTGAGTTTTTAAATTTTCTGTTGGGCTTTATGTGAGTACTGTTTTGTAGACTTGCTTTGTATGTGTAGAACATATAAACATGTTATATAAACATATAACATATATATAACATATATAAACATCCATATAAACATGTAAAACAATTTGCCCTCTCAAATGACTATTTGTATGACTTTGTAAAAGCCTCTTTCTTCATAATCAGGGTGAAAGGGTGTAATGTATATGCTCTGTCTGTTCTTCTCAAATCACTGGACTCCCCCTTTAATGATCTTACTCCTTCTGTTATTTCCTCTGTTAGGAATTAGAAATTAAGAAAATGGCCAAGATTGGTAATAAGGAAGCTTGCAGAGTTTTAGCCAAACAGCTTGTACATCTAAGGAAACAGAAAACAAGAACTTTTGCTGTCAGTTCAAAAGTCACTTCCATGTCCACTCAAACAAAAGTGATGAATTCTCAGATGAAGATGGCAGGAGCCATGTCAACTACAGCAAAAGTAAGTGGTGACCTTTATATCCATAGCTTTGTGATTTCATCTGAGATGTGTAAATATCAACATTCAAATTAGATTGAAAGCTCCTTCATATATATATATATATATATATATATATATATATATATACACATATATATATAAATAAAATATATATACATAACATATATATGGTAGAGAATCTTTGTAATTTTTAATCAAATGAGTTATAATTAAACATAATCCAGATAAAATATTTCTAGGCTTTTTATCAACTTGGTTTAATATAAAATTTTTATTTTAGGTACTTCCACTGTTCCAGGATTGCATGTAGCTTCTAAATTTTTTAAATTGACTTAAAACATTATTTATTTTTTTTCCTTAAATTTTAAAAAGATTTTGGGGCTTCTTATTTCATATGCTGTGTATTTTGATATAATAATTTGAATTATAATTTCCTCTTAATTCATTTTCATGAATATCTCAGAAAGATGCATGAGTATTTTCAGAAGAATTTATCAGTTCATTTTATCAGGAATCTAAGTTTAACTTACTGTCCTTATATTAAAAAAACAATGTTTTTTACTGTAGAACTTAAAAGACTGTGAGCCTTTCAGACATTTAATAAAGAATGAGCTCTTTGATGTGTATTAAGAACTGTGAAAGACCAGAAGAAATTCAAGACATAGGCTCTGCTTTCACATATATTACATAGTTCATTTTGGGAGTGGGAGAAGGTTTAGATGTGCTAAAAAGGAAGCTTTACACTCTACAACATTCTGTGCTCCATGTTTCAGTGAACTGTGCAGATCCTTGAATAGAATGATGTGAAAGACTTTCCGGAAGACCAAAATTATCAGTAGGCTTTAAATAAAGGGAAGAAAGAGTATGAATATGAAGCACTAAAAGAAAAGATTAGCCACAGAGGAGAGAAAGTACAGGGTTATATATATTAGGAAAATAGTCCATAACTGTTAATTCTCATTATTTGCGGTAATTGTATTCTGTAAAGTTTGAGGAACACTGAATTAGGGAATATCGAGCCATTGTTCCTAGGGGAAATTGAGGGTTAGGTTCCTGTGAGCCTTTGATCACAATTGTTGTTAACTAGTCTAGACCATACTTCAGCCCTATGCTTAGGGGAGCATTTTAAACAGTGCAATCACCAACCAAAAGCAAAAAAGTAGACCACAAAGATGACACTAATTTCCATTATTAGTGCTGAGTCAAGATGGCAGGGTGTCATCTTGGGAGACTTAAATTGGAATTATGCTTGTTGGGCAGCTCAGACTTTGTGCTACTCTATGCATGTCCACAAACAAGCATAAAAGTACTGCAAGTATTGACATGAGGTTAGAGATACATTTTAGTGAGTAGGCAAATTCACAAATAAGGAGTCCAGAAATAATGAGGATTAACTAAAATTGCCTTTTAGACCACGAAACACATGAAATAGAATGTGTCCATTTTATGTACAATAAGTACAGTGGCACATGGTGTTCCTTAAAAAACAGATTGTTTCAAAGCTGTTAATTCTGAATAAAGCTTATTCTGTCAGTTTACTTACTTTTGATGGATCTTAGTCATTTACAGTGGAAATGCATGGTTCAGAGCAAAAAAAGTTTGTTTTCTTTTTTTGGTTTTACAAATCGATAGAACTAAGTATCTGTCTAATTTGAAGATAAGTTCCTATCTGAAGATCACACACCTGGGCTGGATAACTTTTCAATAATATTGAGGAGGAAGACAACTCATTTTGCAATTTTCTGCAAGTAATAGGGGAAGAAAACATACCTAATGTGGTCCTGCTATATAGAAATGTGCAAATTAGAATTTTCACTTAAATTTCTTAAAAATTTGTTAATTCAAGAAATGTTTGTTTAGGCCCTCTAAGTAGGAACTATAATAAGTGATGGGGATGAAATGGGACGCATAACCAGGCAAGTGCTGATTAAAGTCCATTTCCAAAGCAGCCCATTTGAGAGGTAGTTTTAGTTCAGTGATTGGGCTTCCTGGTGGCTCAGATGGTAGAGAGTCTGTCTCTAATGCAGGAGACCGGGGTTCAGTCCTGGGTCAAGAAGATTCCCTGGAGAAGGGAATGACTACCCACTCCAGTATTCTTGCCTGGAAAAATTCAATGGAGAGAGGAGCCTGGGCAGGCCACAGTCCATGGGGTCATAAAGAGTTGGACATGACTGAATGACTAACACTTTTACTTTTTTTCCCTTTAATTCAGTGATTTGAAACATGAGCTTTGGAGTCAGATTACTTGGGTTCATACCTTACTTGATAGCTGTGTGATCTCGACAAACTCTTCATTCTTCATTTGTGATAGGAAATGGTAGTACTGAGTACATAAAGACTTGTTAGGTTTAAATGTATTTAACTTTAAATATTATTATATTGAATACATATAGTGCTTAGAACAGTGCCTGGCACACAGAAATAATATATATCGGCATTAGCTGCTCTGTTATCACTGTCAGCTTCATAGTTGTTATTAGTATAGTTTTGTAACAATACTGTAATTTGCAAGTAAAGTCATATAATTTACACCAATACATAAAATAAACTTTTATCTGTAGTGCGTAGGATTTAACAGGAACATCTGTTCTAACCTAGGGTGTCAGAAACTGCTGCCCTAAGGTGGGAAACTGAAATCTGAAGTATTTATAGTGAAAGAAAATAAAGAAGAGCATTCTAGCAGAGGGACGGTACATGCAGAGGTCCTGTGGTGGGAGGGAACACCGTACATTTAAGGAAATAGAAGATCAGTGTATCTAGAGGGCAGTGGTGCAGAGTGAGACTGGCTTGTTAGGCAGGGTTAGGATGTTTGGTCTCACAGGTCAGTTTATGGAATTGTGTTTTCAGTGCTAAGAACAACACAAAGCCCTTAGAGAAATTAGGCATGTGTGAGCTGGTGGGGGATGGGAGGGTACAGTGTTGTATTTGAAAAAATTACTTTGGCTGCAGCATGCATAGAAGACTGTGTTTGCTTCCTATCTTTGAACTGACATATTTTATATAACACACATTCAATAAACACATATACCCAGCTACATATATGATAATTTATAAAATACTTTGGCCATACATTAATTTGTTTTAATAAAATTAGTTGTGAATATAAAATATTCATGTTTTTTGCAAAGCTCAATGTTTTTATCATTTCTTGAAATCATGGTTTTAAATGAATAAATATGTTAAATATGTGTCCTATAATTCAGACATTAAAATTTTTGGAAAAAAAATAAATTTTTTTAAAATTTAGATATTACCTGCTTGCACATAATAGACAAATGTATTTTTCCTATATGAGTAGCAATGGATTTTGTTATCAGTATTTTTTTATTACTTGATTTTTTGCCTACTGTTCAGATGAGTTTTTCCACAGTGGTCTTTATTATAAAGATGTTAAGCAGATGGTTTCAAAATGAGTAATTTAATTTTTTTAATAATATTAATACTTTTATGTTTGATTATGGCAGAATGTTTATCTTTTAACAAATCTACCTTTATTGATGTATTCCCTTTGGACTTATTCCATAGTAAAATTTTCATAATTATGTAACATGAATCTTTTCATATATTTAAAGACAATGCAGGCAGTAAACAAGAAGATGGATCCACAAAAGACATTACAAACAATGCAGAATTTCCAGAAGGAAAACATGAAAATGGAAATGACTGAAGAAATGAGTAAGTTTGATAAGTTGTAATGAAATTTTCAGTTTTTTCATCTTTGAATTAGCAAGTTTATTTACTAACAACCTCATATGTTCATCCATGAAGGCACAAATGAGAAAAGAAATGATGCAGCTCCCTTCTAAATAGATGACTGTATTGGAATTTCATCGAGTTTTTGTGTAAGGCTCAAAATTCTATTAACATTTAGCTGAAAGAAAAATGTAAAATATGTGATGCCATATTTCTGTGCTATTTGGCCTCAGCAGTTTTACTTTATAGATTAGAGAATCAAAACCAACTTGTGAATAAAACAATGCTTCCTAGTATAAGTTAGATAATTTAAGAGTTTTGTTGATTATTTCATACTGTAGAAGATCTGTAAATATATAGAAGATATATTTTATATTTTCATATTATAGAAGATCCTATATATTTCATACTCTAGAAGATCTGTTTATATTAGAGGTAGAGGTAATGGAGCTCATTTGTTCTTTTTTCTTTTCCCCCTTCCAGAGTCTAAATTTAATATTTAATTTTCTTCTTGTTGAGTATAAACTTCATACTGTGGTAGAAATATGAGGAATAAGAGGAATAAGGCTATAAACAAATTTATCATTACACTACCTATAGTGTTGATATTATTTATTTCTTTCCTATATTTTTCTATATCTTATAAAGTGTGATAATATAGATTATTTTGAATCTTATCTTGCCTTTAAAAAACATAGTAGTATAACATAAACATGTCCTCATAACCTTGAATTTTGTTTTTTTTAATGGCTTTAATATTCTGTAACATCAATATATCCTAATTTATTGAACAATTCTTATATTGGTTGGTAAGATTGTTTTAAAATGTTCAGTTTATGTGACAGTCCTTTGATGAATATGTTTCTGTAATATCTGAATTTCTTCAGTGTTCTTAGACTATTAACTTTTATAACACTTTTGGCTCATCAGTTCAGTTCAGTTGCTCAGTCGTGTCCGACTATGTGACCCCATGAACTGCAGCACTCCAGGCCTCCCTGTCCATTAACCAACTCCTGGAGTTTACTCAAATTAATGTCCATTGAGTCAGTGATGCCATCCAATCATCTCGTCCTCTGTCGTCCCCTTCTACCGCCTTCAGTCATTTCCAGCATCAGGGTCTTTTCAAATGAGTCAGTTATTTGCATCAGGTGGACAAAGTATTGAAGTTTCAGCTTCAGCATCAGTCCTTCCAATGAATACTCAGGACTGATTTCCTTTAGGATGGACTGGTTGGATTTCCTTGCTGCCCAAGGGACTCTCAGTTTGGTTCAAACTACCAGATTATTTCAGAAGGATTATCCAGTCTTTATTTCACCGATAACAAATGAGCGACCCTTCACAGCACCCTGGTCAACATTGAATTCTTACCTGTATAATACATTGAATTGTTACTTGTATAATATGTCAAAACTGGCATCATTGTTTCACAAAGATATTGTCTAACTATTTTACAGCTATATAGGGATATGTCAGTGTAGCTGTTGTTTATCTCCTATTTTTATCTCCAAATTTTAATTTGACAGCATTTGTTGTATAAAGTAGTATCTAAATTACCAGGATTACTAAATTCAAGCCTAGTATTTTATTTCAGAGTATCTGTTTTCCTTCTGTGGTTTAATGACACTGTGGTTCCTTGGTGGCTCAGATGGTAAAGAATCTGCCTGCCATATAGGAGACCTGGCTTTGATCCCTGGGTTGGGAAGACCTCCTGGAGAAGAGGACAATGGCCACCCATTCCAGTATTCTTACCTGGAGAATTCTCTGGATAGAGGAACCTCATGGGCTACCTTTCATGGGGATCCAAAGTGTCCGTCATGACTGAGCACACATGCATATGTCTTTGACAGTTTCAAAAATTCTTTAGTTTTTACTTTAACCTTTACTTTTAAAAATCTAATTTTTCAAAAACATCAGTAGTGAATTTTTAGTGACTGAGAGAATTGTCATTTATATAATGATCATAGTAGCTAACATGTTTTGTGAATTCCAGTGATGGCACAGGTGTGAGCAGGTCTTAGTGGAGGAATTAAATATTCCATTAAGCCATAATGAAGAGAATCAATAAGCCTGTATTTAAAACTTGTATCTGTCATAGTTGTTCTCATTTGTATTTTAGTAATTTGCAAGTCTGAAAGAATAGTAGTTATTGGTGGTTACTCATTTTTTCAGTAAAGTGTATTAACATTAGTATTTTCATCCAAAGATAAATACAAGGTTTAGATGGACATATCTTTTTCAAATTAGAATTTATATTTTACAGTGTTGTTCCAGTGCTTGTTCACATTCAGATTTTGGAAACAAGATCTTTGGGAAATTTGTATTACATCTTTAATTTTGTTAACACTTTTCCTGAAAGCATTTTTCTCTGCTAATCCTTGGTTACACCATTCCGGTGCTTCTTCTCTGTCCTCTTCTTTCATTTTTTTCTGTGAGTGGTTTTTCATTCAGGCCCTTTTAAACTCTAACCTGGACTCCCTACAGCCCTTGTTACTACACTACCATCTGAGTATCACTGCTAAGTAATTTTTCTGGAGGGAGGCTTACTTCTGAGCATGCTGATAAAATTCCCATAGTGGCACTTTTCTAACTATAAAAATAAAGTCCCACATCGTAAATCAAAAACAATTTTCAGGTCAAGCCCCTTTCTTTTCTCAATGCAAATATTGAGGCCCAAAGTGGTAAAGTGACTTCCCATAAAGTTGCCCAGTTACTGAGTGTAAGAACTGAGATACTAAATAAAAGTTTAGCATTCACTTTACTTTTTCAGAGGTGGTGTTCCTTTTTTTTTTTTTTGGCCTTAAGCTCTTTAGATTTTTCCAGTTGATTTTATACTATTAAACTAACACAAAAAATCAAAATTATCAAACAATGTTCAGTAGAGATCTTAAGCAATATCAAGCTTTTTTAGCAGTGTCAAGGATACAAGCTATTAAGATACTCATGCAGAACAGAGAGGGGGCGGGGCCATCCGAAATGACTCTTCAAATCTTTTCTTCCCATAACAGACATAAGCATCACAGATGATATGTCTAATCCGTTTGCTTATTTCATGTTGAACAGAACATTTACAAAGTGTAGGAAATATGTTAAATTTATACCTCAAATGATCACCTATCTTATGTGTTATTTTGGAGGAACTCATAGATATAAACCCATACATTGTAGCTACAACAATCCTAAAACGAAAACAGCCTGTTAAGTTCATAAACAGGGACTCTCTTGTAGGTAAGTATTAGTCTGTTTACCAGACACCCAATTAGCAAGTTATTTACAGAAAGATCAAGCTAGGTTGCTTGTCTTTCTTCCTCTGGGACCTTCCCCAGTGATCATGTTAATAGCAATCATAGGCCAGTTTTTTTTAATTCTTTCCTTCGCAACCACTTTCCATTTATACATCTTACATAGTCAAACAGAGGCACTTACTCTTCCTTACATGTGTCCCTGTTGCTTGCCACTGTGTCTTTGCTCATGCTACTGTATCTCTATGTGTCCTTCAGTGACCATCTCAAGTATTTTTTCCTTCCAGATGGGTGTCATCTCTTCCTTTTGAAACTTTTATAATCATTTACCTTTCCATTTATCAGAATCTGGTTTTCTTTTTCTTCTTCTGTTCTCCTTAAATGTAAACTACCTAAGGTATTTACTTTTCTCCATCTATTCATAGATTTTATTTGCACTGTGTAAATTACATTGCTGGGCCTTTTTCTAAAAATATAAGCCCAACCTGAAATCTGCTTGAAAGTAACTTTTGCTTCCTCTCCTCCCCTCAAGTCAATGACACGCTTGATGACATCTTTGATGGCTCTGATGATGAAGAAGAAAGCCAAGATATTGTGAATCAAGTTCTTGATGAAATTGGAATCGAAATCTCTGGAAAGGTATGAATGAATGTTCTATTCTCTCAGATGGAAATACTTTCTCTTCACTTCATTTTTTTTTTTAAGTTTTCCTTTATGTTAGCTGTATGTTTTAAAATATTTGTTTGAAAAGTAAATTATACCTCTTTGCAGCACATCCTTTTTGTCCTAACCCGAAAGTTTGTTAATACACATTTTTTTTTCTTTTTCTCTCTTTAACATAGATGGCCAAAGCTCCATCAGCTGCCCGAAGCTTACCATCTGCCTCTACTTCAAAGTCTACAATCTCCGATGAAGAGATTGAACGGCAACTCAAAGCTTTAGGGGTAGATTAATCCAAAAAGCCATTATATTTTGCCTATTATAATTATTTAGTATAAACCAGGCACAGTGAAGATTCCTTTTACAAAGCACATTTATTTTGCAAAAATGAAGACCATGGTAAACAGTTGTTTCCTAACCCATGGCTATTTTGACTCTTTTGCCAAAGAATGACAATGATGCAAAAATGGGAACAGTTTGGATTTTAATTAGAACTATTTGAGAGTGATGATGTGTAAAATGTTGACTTCTTTTCTGCATGGCCTAGAGAAATTATATTCATTCCTTAGTGTATTTATGTTCTGAATCTTTTTACACAGAATACAAATCTTGTTAAAGCCATGAGGCACCAACTTAAAGAGACTTGTAAGAATATTAAAAGTATACCATTAATTCTGTGTCTGTTACCTGTCCTTTGTAAGTGATATGTGTTATGACCATAGGCGGTTCAGCTGCCAAATTATTTTTAAATCACCTAAAAGAAGAGTGCTATTTGAACATCTGTGTTAAACAAAACCTGTTATGAGCTTTTCTTTTCTTTTCCTTTGGGAGAACATTCTACTTGGTAAGTTTATTACCTTTGAAAATGTGCTTGGCACCTGCCTTAAATAGTACAAACATATTGTGCACATCTTTAAATTATTTTAACTGACAGAAAAGAACTACATTTTAAACTCAAATTGAAGCCTCTTACAGAAATTAACCAGGCTCTTTTTTTAAAGCTTATAAAGTGAATTAAATATAATTAGCAAAAACAGACACTGAATTAATAACATTTTATATTAATAAAACAATATATTTTGGTCTTTCTTCCCAGAACTGAGGAGATTTCCTCCATGTGAATTATAATTTAATCTCTTTAGTTTTGAATTGTATTAATGTGTATATCAAACCTTCATTGAGGTTTGATGAAGCCATCATCCTCAATTAAGTAACACTACTATGACAATACTCAACCTAAATTTTAAAAATTAGCATTTTTTCTTGGTAAATAAACTACAACTTTGTCAGAAGTTACTGCCTGAATGTGTATTAATGTATTAACTGCATTTTTTAAGGTTAAGTTGCTATGGTATTTAATGTATGTATAGAAAGTGAGAAGAAATGAAGACATGGCAGATTAGTTAGATAGAATTTAGAATTAGGTTAGCTTTGAAAAACAATGTTGTCATATATGGATTTTAGCACATCCCACCCTTTAAAAACTCTTCTGAAGGAGATCAAATAGCTATAACCTGGTTAATTTGGGACAATGGATGTTTTGGACTAATATGGACAACATAAATACATTTTAGGACTAGTGGACATATGGCATAAGGATTGAGAAAAATGTAAACCTAAACTTTATAATCCATAAACCATTTTATAATGTTCAAAGGTAAGATTCCATTATTGATAACATTAAATACAGTCACCCTGAACATTGATGGGTCAAAACATTTTACTTGATTATGGAATGTTAACACAGGACTTGTTTTGATTCTTGGATGTACATAATAATGCCAACTAACTTTATTTACTTTCTTGTTTACATGTGGGAGTTTTAAAATTATTTTGTTAAAAAAAACCTCAATAAAGATTTATTGCTGTTATGTTTTTTCCCCTTATCTCTTTTACTCTATTTTTGATTTCTGTTAAAGTTAAAAGTTTTATGCATATCTGGTAATTTTTCAAAAGAATAATTTTTATTACTTTCTTGAAAGGAAAAATTAGATAACAATGCTGTTTATATTTTAACAATAATTGTCTGTTTAAGAACTAGCAGTTGGTATAGAACTGAGCTTGTGAGTGGAATAAATCTAATAATTGGTGGTTTCACATGAAATTTATCTGATAATTTCTTTCCTGAAACTTGCAGGAGATAACCATTTTTAAATCTTTAAACAGATTAAGTCTTAGAGATGTTTTAAAAAGATTCCAGTCAAACATGAATGCCACAAGACTTTGGGACTCAAAGGAAAGAGTAGAGTCATTTTGATTTGGCTATATTTATAAAATGCTGTAGTTTTCATGAGCATTGTCTATAAATTTGTAAGTTATGCTGCTTTTTGTTCAGTCAATAAGTCGTGTTTGACTCTTTGCGACCCCGTGGACTGCAGCACGCCAGGCTTCCCTGTCTTTCACCATCTCCTGGAGTTGGCTCAAACTCATGTCCACTGAGGTAATGCTTTCTAACCATCTCACCCTCTGCCGCCCTCTTCTCTTTCTGCCCTCTATCTTTCCCAACATCGGGGTCTTTTCCAGTGAGTCAGCTGTTCACATCAGGTGGCCAGAATATTGGTGCACCTTCAGCATCAGTCCTTCCAATGAATATTCCGGGTTGGTTTCCTTTAGGATTGATCTCCTTGCAGTCCAAGGGACTCTCAAGAGTCTTCTCCAGCACCACAGTTGGAAAGCATCAATTCTTCAGAGCTCAGCCTTCTTTATGGTCCACCTCACCTCTGTACTTGACTACTGGAGAAACCATAGCTTTGACTATACCGGCCTTTGTCGGTAAAAAATAAAACTTCCTTTAGACCCTTAAAATTAGTAAACAAGGATTCTTTCACACTGAGTTTAATGAAACAACTGATTTATATGGTTACTTGATTTTCCTCATTTCCTACTTTTGGCAAAAGGATTTCTTTAGCAACTGACAAGTGTGCCGATAGAAAGTGAGCTGAGGAGGATAGCAGTTTCTCTTACTGAAGGATGCAGCCCGATGTCATATTCTGTTACTGGATGTTAATGTCATGGATGGGGGAGATCACTGAGTCTGAGAGAAGTAGAATTTGGTACAAGAATGTCAATACTCATCTTAGAGAACATAAAATGACCATCCCTGTCAGCTGATTGTGTTTCACAGACTACTCTGTTTGGAGGGGGAGTGCATGGTTATGGCAGAGGTAGTGGAAATGAATTCATGAAATTAACACAACCTTGTAAATCAACTATACTTCAAAAAAATAAATTTTAAAGCAATGTGCCTATGTAGACCAGAGTGGGAAATCTGGTGACCTGTGAGCTTCATGTTACCTGCACAGTGAAGTGTATTATTTGTAATGAATACCTTTAGGAGAAGCCCGCCCTCACCCCATGGACACATATACATTCCTTACTAGCCCAGTAGCCATACTCCTAGCCTGGTCCTGGTGGGCCCAATTTAAATATGTACCCCTCTTTCAGACATTCCCATGTTTAAACTGTGTATGTGCAAATCTGGAAAAGAGACCTGTGATAACTTCCTCTCTTGATGCCATTACTCTACATGAACAGGGTTTTGCAGCTACAGAAGAATAGATCAACTTTTCAATTTCTATAGGACCTGAGTCCATAGATGTGTTTAAGACAAATCCTATTACTTAGTTCTTTCAAGAGTCAACTGGATTGAATTTCCCTCCGAGGAAGCCTGAGGATCCTGAAGTCTGATTTCAGGTACCCAGCTATAGGAACAGCATACATACTCCCCTCTCCACAAGCCATTCTCCCAAGAACCTGAAAATACGCACGGGTGCACACACACAAACATCTCCGTCCCAAACACTGAAAATATTTCTAACTATTTTTACCATTAGATAAGGAAAGTGAAAGTGTTAGCCGCACAGTCGTATCTGACTCTTTGCAGTCCCATGGACCATAGCTTGCCAGGCTATGGGATTTTCCAGGCAAGAATACCGGAGTGGGTTGCCACTTCATTCTTCAAGGGATCTCCCCGACACAGGGATTGAAGCTGGGTCTTCCACTTTGCAGGCAGATTCTTTATTTTTACCATTAGATATGGAAAGGTAAGTTAAATGAATTTCTTAGCCACCTCTACAGGGTAAAACTGAGTATACCAATAGGTATAAGTGACAAACAGATCCTTCCATCTTAATGGAACTCAACCGAATTCTTGAAGATGTCCCACAGAAAAGCTCATAAAAACGGAAAGGCTGTGTGGCTAATGTCAGCTTTGGATGTATTCCCAAATGTTAAATGCATAGACACTGCACAGTAAATCACATTTGTCACTTGTTTAATTGCAGTTTAGAATTATAAATAACATTCACCATTTTCTATTTTTAAGGAAGCCAATATCTATTAAAATACTATCTAAATAGTTAGAAAATATAGCCTCAAAACTCATTTATACAAATGAGTGAATAGCAAATACCAGTACATTTACAACTAGTAAATAGCTAGTAATAAGGGACTAGTAGTATTACTATTACTAGTAGTAAATAAGGGATTGCTATTTCAATATTAAAGATTGCCTCAAAATATTTTTTAGGGACAAAAACTGGTTTCCAATGCTAACTGTATCTAAAGTTGGAAAGAATGACCTTATAGAAGAATGTCTGATTATAATCTAAACTTAACATCTGTAGTGATGGCTGAGGCACATATCCGTGCTTGTTTTTGCTATACAGAGACAGATTAAACATTCCTAGAAGTTTCATATTTAAGTGCAAAGAGTCACTATTCTAGATTTATAATGCATTACTTTTGCTTTTATTTGCAAGTTTCAACAGCATGTATACATATATTTTTAGGAGTGTCTGTCTGTATGTACCTTTTGCTCTGCCTTTTACAAACTAATGAATCACTTCCCCAACTAATATATATTTTAAGCAAATGAATTATCAAGAGAAAAGTACTTATAAATCCACATAGCTGAATAATTTGGAGTTTACTCTCAAGAAAAGTCTATATATACATACTATACATGTATATGTATAGTATGTATATATATGTGTGTGTGTACGTGTGTGTGTGTATATATATATATATACACATATATATATATATATATATATATATATATGTATCTGTATAGTATTTAACACCTCCTGTGTGCTAGATGTGTACTTAAGCATGGATTATCAGGCCACTGAAACCTGATTTTTTTGTTTGCTTTTAATAATATATCAATGTTTCCAGCTATCCAATTGATGTTGATTATGTGTGCACATATATATATATAATCTACATAGATTATGATCTTCATAATCCTTAGTCTTTATTAATATTACAAAAAGCAAGAGACAGGACAGTATACTTTATTTAGTAAGCATTCTAAATAATAAAATTTAGTCTGTTCCCATTTTTTGTTATATAAAATAAGTTAGATCAACATTGCCAGCAGATTGACATTCAAAATGCAAAACAAAGTCACTATTTGATAGTGGTAACACATTACAGTTTGCTTCTACCTACAAGTTTTAAAGAAGTGCATTCTTTTTTTAAATTGAAGTATAGTTGATTTACAATATTATGTTAATTTCAGGTGTACAAAATTGATTCAGTATTTCTATAGATTATACTCCATTTAAAGTTACTAAATAATATTGGCTATATTCCATATGCTGTACAGTGGTGCAGTCTTATTAATTAAATACATGTTCCTTAGGGTGCAACTCCCTGAATTGAAAAGCTCAATACAGCAAATTTTTTCATTAACAATAAATCATATTCTAACCAATTAAACCAAAAATGATCCTCTTTTCTGATGGGACCCCAGATGATTTTCTAGGTTGTGAGATTTCAAAAATGAGCTATGGTATTAAATTTGACTCTCTTCAAGTTTGTAGCCACTGTTAAGAGTAAACTCCCTTGTTCATTTAACAAAGATTTCTTTCCACTGTGAGCAAAGGCTTCCCCATGCACTGGAGAAATAGCAAGTATGCCAAACATCTTCCTTGTACTTTTATAGCTTATAGAAACAGTAGTGTGGGGCTCAAGAATCCATAAAGCATATTTTCCACAGCTAAACATCAAAAAAGCTAATGTCTGGGAAGAATAAAAAGATCATAAATTAATATTTCTACAAATTTCTTTTGAAACACTTCTTTGGGCTCTGTGCCGTAATTGTTACTTCAAAGGTGTCACTTCTGATTAAGATTTATTCCTAAATGCAATAGTAAAATTCTAAGGCACCTCTGGTTCTTAAGTGCAAAACTTTTAGTTCAAACAAACTATTAAAGCTGATGTCAAGCAGAGCATCAGTAAAGGAATTTTCTAATTGGATCTTCTCTGGTGATATTCTTTATGTGGCATAACTGACTAAAATATTAAAAAGCAGATATACAGCCTTTGGGAAAAGAATCTTTAAACTAAAAGACCACATGTGCATACTCCTGTGTGTGTATGTGTGTGTGTGTGTCTGTGTGTGTGTTAGGGAGAGATAGAGGGAAAGATATAGTGAGAGGGACAGAATCATTGTTTTAATCCTATTAGTCTTTGGCTTAAAATGTACAATGTGCCTTCTGAGAATAATTCATTAACATAATTTAAACTGTATTTATTTTTAAAGTAGAAAAGAAACACTTCTGCAAAAATTACTAATGTGATTTTTTGAAGCTAACCAAATAACTAATTTCTATTTTGGCTGAAGAAGAGAAAGGAATGAAAAATGGAAAAGCTAGCTATTACACAATAGGAGATCCTATCTGCATTCAAGATGCTCCTTAGAAATAGTAAATAAACTCTGATTCAGGCTTGTTTTCACCCGTTTTTCTCTCTGCCTTCGGTTACAAAACCAAACCCTCACCACTTCTTTCTCCAGGTTCAGTTCTTCAGCCATCCGCAGGATCTCCTGAGAGGAAGGCTTATTCTGTTCTCCAAAGTGTCTCTCCAGGGCGTCTTTAGCTGCAATACTGGGAGGTGGGGAGTTGGCAGGAAAAAGGAAGGGAGATGATGGTTTAGGCACATCGAAATCAAGTTAGGTTAAATTTCCTAAATGTTAGTATTAACATTAATGTAAAAAGGAAACCTAAAGAATATGAAAACACCTTCAAAGCTCTTCAATAATGATAAATGTGAAGTTTTTTTGAACATTTAGATGCTTGTCTCATGTAGGCTCCTTTTAGAGAGTCACAGGAAGAAATTAAGGAGGGAAACCCAGACATTGTTTATCCACCTTCTGCCACAAGAGGGCACTGACTTATTGAGAAGAAAATAAACTGTATGCATTGCTAAATGTCCCCCGGAACTCAGGTTACTGAAATGTATAGTGTACAATCAATCAACCAAAACAAAACCTGTATTTTAGCAATTCCTCCATGAGCCTCATGGAAACTACAAAAAGATAAATGAGCAATCTGGCTTGAAATGCTAGAAGTCACTTTGAACTTTAAGCAACTAGAATACTGGCAACCAGTTTTGTTATTTGTAATAACATAGATAACATATTTCCGGAGCAAGACTTATGTCTAAAAGGACAGTAGAAACAGTCATTCTTTTTAGCTGTGATTGTACAGCTTCTGTTTTATCCAAAACTTGCAGAGCAAAACTGTTTTGAATCAAACAATACACATTTTTCCATCAAATTTTAAATTTCCAGCTGTTTCTCAGCAGTAATTTATTGAATGTTGTGCTTTTTCACCTATCTTATTTTCTCAATTGGCTGTATTCATTTTTATGTTATATTGAGCCTATATTATACTCAAATGCTCATTCCATTTGTAAAATATCATTTCTTCTCCACTAACTTTTAATATATCAAAAGTATACCTGATAGTTGTTCAAAAGTATACCTGATAGTTGTTCTCCGTTTCCTTTTTCTTTCATTTGCACCAACTTTCTCATTGTATAAAGCTGTGAAGCAAACACAATGAATAATTACAAAAACAAAGCAGGTTTTTTTTTTTAACTATCAGATTTGGATTTAAAGTTTCTTTATAAAACAATACAAAATAAAATTACCATACATTTTTGTTTTAAATTTTTGCAGTACACATCATTTTAGATTACAAGCCCTAGATTAATATGTTAACACAGAAAAAATATTAACTTATAAATATTAACAGTTGTCTTTAAATCATACCCTATCTTTGTTGAAACAGTTGCTCTAAATGCTATCAAACCTTGCTCTTTAGCCAGCCTTGACATTAACATAAGTAGATAATTTTATCACATTAAATTGTTCATCTAGCAATTGCTTGTTATTCACTAGAAAGAATGGTGTGTGCAAATGGTCTGGCTACACTTATTTTAGGTTATAAAAATGATTCATGTATAATTACTACAGTATATAGCACAGCAGAAAAAAAAATCTGGATATATTAAAAGGAATCATTTCACCACTTTACACCTATGCCACATTGTCTAGAAACTTTCCTATATATTTTATTCTCTATTTATCTTTTCAATAAATTTATTTCTACACTTTCACTGGCTTTGCTTTTCCTTTTAGTGTGATGAAACAAGATACTTATTTTTCATGTCAAAGAGAAAAATCAAACCAAACTTCAAACCTCTTGCTTTAGCACAAATCCAGTCGAGGGAAACCACTGTTTTTAGGTTAAAACATCATTGTTTCCAGAAACACAGCTTTTGTACCTCCTACTTGCTCGGCTTCCTCCAGCCATTTGGATAATATCGCTTTTAGTTTGCATGCATTTTTGAAGCTGAGCTGCAGGTTTTCAAATCGGCAGATCGTTGTTTGACTGAATTCCGAGCCATGCACAGCTGCCAGAGCTTCCCCAACATTTGTTTGGGTGTATCCTGTGAAAGAACAACAAGGCCATCAGCTTCAGTTTTGCAAGAAATACTGATTTTGGTCCACTGTTGTACAAATTTGTATATGTATCTTTGTCAACTATTAAATATTGCTTTTAACCATATATCTGTTGGCAATTTAGAATAACAGTAAGGTTATTCAGTGTAGAATTGTCTAGTATTTTTAAAAATTCCTTCTAGTTAGTAAGTTAATATTTTAGAAGTCAAAAGAATTCAGATAGGAACCTTTGCCATTCATATTTAGCCAAATTGGATAAATGTGTCATACACACTTTGCAAAAATATATAAGAAAAGTTTCTAGACAATGTGGCATAGGTATAAAGTATTGAAATGATTCTTTTTAATGTATCCAGATTTTTTTTTTGCCACTGTGCTATGTACTGTAGTAATTATACATGAATCATTTTTATAACCTAATATAAGTGTAGCCAGACCATTCTTTGCAACCCCATGGACTATACAGTCCATGGAATTCTCCAGGCCAGAATACCAGAGTGGGTAGCTGTTCCCTTCTCCAGGGGATCTTCCCAACCCAGGGACTGAACCCAGATCTCCCGCATAGCAGTCAGATTCTTTACCAGCTGAGCCACTGGGAAGCCGAAGACTACTGGAATGGGTAGCCTATCCCTTCTCCAAGGGATCTTCCTGACCCAGGAATCAAACTGGGGTCTCCTGCATTGCAGGTGGATTCTTTACCAGCTGTTCTACCAGGGAATCCCTCATACACACTTTAGAAGACATTTAAAAATTCTCTCTAATCATTATTGTAAGACATCTGTTGAAATATGCTCAAAATCTATAGATATTAAAATACATAAAATATATGGTGATATATCACAAATATTTTTATCTCAACCGTAAGAGTGAAAAATTCAACATGTTGAAGTTACCAAATAAAACTAAGAACTGTGTTTACTTTCCCTAAAAGCATGCTTATTATTAGACTTTGGTCACACAACATTTTATGTATATCACCAAACATTTATTATGTCATTTGGTAATGCTTCTATCTCCAGGCAAAAAGTTTTCATAGACTGTCTCAAACATTTTCAGAATATAAGTTGATAAATGTCATCAGTGTAGAATTTGAAACATTCACAGTCATATAAAAAGTAAATTGAAAATGAATGTTATAAAGATGCCTACTGCTGTGTTTATGACAAATAGTAACTACGTATTAATTCAGGGCCCAAGGCTATTTACCTGTATGCATAAAATGATTACATATGATACCCATCAATTGATATCATTAAAAGTCACCAATGGCTCAGTCCACAAAAGCAGAAGTTTGTACTATCAGTTCAATCCATTAAAAATATATTTCATGCACTTAAATCAAGGTTAATTATATGATTATTTACATTAAAAACACTTCACCCTAGAAAGTGAGCAAAGGCTATGAAGAGATAGCTCACAGAAAAGGAATTACAAATGACTGTCCAACACATGAAAGAACTTCTTTCACTCTTCACTCATAAGGGAAATTTAAAATGAAACTACTCCCTTTGCCTAACTGATTTGCAAAGGTCCAAAAGATTAATAGCATCTATTTCCTTCAACAACTAATTTTTATTCTATATGCCAGTCACTGTTCCAAGTGCTGAGGATATGCCATTAAGGACAAAGCAAAAGGAAATAAACAAAAAACAAAAAACTTCAGCCTTAACAGAATTCATATTCTGAAGGGTGGCAAAGCAGATGCTCATGGTGGCAATAAAATTTGTTAGAACTTACATAGAGACCAATTTGACATCTACTGAAATTACAAATACACATACTCTTCAATAAAGCAACTTTGCTTTGAACACTTTCCCTACACATATATTTTTATAGGAGCAAAATGTTATTTATGAAGTTAATCATTGCATCATTGTCTTCAGTAACATAAGATTGAAGACCATCTAAATTCCATTAGTAGGAGACTGGTAATATATTCATAAAATGGAATTGAGCGATGCATTGGAAAGAAGAGCTCTCTTAAAAACTAATACTGAAAGCTCTCCAAAATAGTCAAGTGAAAAATGTCTATATGAAGAAATACATGTATTAGCTTATTTGAATATGCATAAACTAGAAGGATACACAGGAACTAATAACATTGATAAACAGGAAGGATAAGCAGAGGGATACAATTCACATAGCTTTTTAGCCTTTGAATCACACAGAAGTATTTATTCAAATAAAACAAAGCTATTTCTAAACTTATGTTTGAAAAGGAGACCATTAATTTAGAAATCTATGTATTTTGGCTGCTAAGAATTTACAAGGAAATGAAGGTTTCTGTAGGTTTTCATAATTCAGGTAACTTACATCCACAGTAGAGATGTAGAATGAGAACTGTCTTGAATTTCTGAGCAGCGTGTAAGAGACTAACAGTAATAGAGTCAGACTTTGCAGAAGGGGTTGTGTGTCCCACGGCTGTTAACAAGCACCTACCTAGCTTAATTCTTCTCACTTTAAACTCATTGGCAAACTTCTCAAGTTCTCGGATTTCTGGAGAATCCATGTCGATTGGCTCTTCAACCAATTTGCTTTTCCTCCTGATCTCCTGCTTGAAATCAGCGGCAGTGGGGTCCTCTGAAAGGAGAGGCTGATGCACGGGAGGAAACCCATGACTCAGCGTGTGGTCAGGAAACTTATAAAGACAAGGGGTTAAGCTCCCTGTAACAAGAAGAAAAGGACCATTTGTGATCATCCCTCATTTTGATACATGGAAAATTTTGGCCCATCAGATTATTCTGTGACGGCCAGTCTCAGTTCTCAAAGGTTACCTGACATTTGGTTTTCCGAAGTAGAAGTCAGTGTAGCTTAGGAGAAATGTGATCATTTTTCCCACCTTCCTGGGAGCAGCGAAAACAAGGATAATGCAAAGCCGAAGGAAAGAACCAGGGACTTGCAAATAATTAAAATAGAAATAAGCAAATTTCAAAGAAGTGTGAGTTTTCCATCATTGTTTTTCTCATAAAAGACATCTAGGGACTTCCCTAGCGGTCCAGTGGTTACGACTTCATCCTTTCAGTATAGGGGGTATGGGTTTGACTCCTGGTTATGGAATTCAGCATGGCTCCCCAAAAACAAACAAACAAAAACCTATTCATCAGTTCCTGTGAGTCTGAGGTTCAACTCTACCAGAATGTATATTTTGATCTCTATTTTCTTAATTATATAATCAAGGTTTATGTTAAGTGCTATGCTGGGAAATTTTCATAGCATTGAAAAATTGATTTTACAGCATTAAGAAATCCAACGTTTTATCAGTAAATGCTTAATTTAGTAAAGGCAGGTAAAAAGAAAATTATGAGAACACAAAACACATTAATAAGGTTTAAATAGATTTAATGTTAATGATGGATGTTGACAAAAAGTAACTTTTAAAGATCTATTAGAAAGTCAGAAACAAGATTCTTGCAAAACATACTATGATGGAATCATTTCTTGATTACTATTTAAGAAGAAAACGTAAGTGTCAAGGAAGGGTGCAATTCTAGATATGATACATAATCCCTCATAAATGATGAAGCACTGAATCCATTGAGTTAGCTAAATGAGAAATCTCAAAAAACTACATGATTTAATTGTTTAATTTCTTCTAGATTTCACTCTTCATTTGGAGAGAAGAGACTCAGTCAGGGAGTATGGGTGACAGGATGGTATAAGCCAAATTCCCACACATTTTATTTCTGTTTTCTTCAGCAGTATATTACATTTTTATTCTTTAGGATTTCACTTTATCTTAAATGACACGGGTGTAACCAAGACATTTTGATATAAATAAAATATTCAATAATTAATCATTTTTCTTATGAGTATAAATTAAATATAAATGACTATAGAATATAGGCAGTAATCATTCTTAGAAACTTGCTAAAAAATACATCAGTTTTATGCCATTTATAATTTCTCTATAAATACAGTCACAAATCAGACATGAGTAATGGTGTATTTTGCCAGAATATATAAATCTTACATTAATATATCAATATGTAATGAGCAGAGAATATTGCAAGTCAGTAAATTGTTGGCTCATATTATTTATATGAGAAAATATAATTTTGAAGTGTACCCCTATCCAGTAGACTATTATTTTTCTGAATCAAAATACATACAAGTGAGAAATTAAGCAAAATACCATAAAATAAGTTTAGCTGTTTCATGGATATAAAAAATGTACAAAAGAAACTGTTTCTGTCTAAAGCAATTCATATTGCTTTCAAAAATCAAAACTATCCAGTTTTTTTTTGTTAATCATCCACTTTTTGCTTTAGTGGGTAGTACATTGAATAGACCAGATAAAATTTTAAAAAGCAATTTTATCAATTTTTAATTTATTACAAAATTCAATTTTTAAAATGTTTGTTACATTTTAACAAAGCTCATTTTTTTCCATTTATTTTTATTAGTTGGAGGCTAATTACTTTACAATATTGTAGTGGTTTTTGCCATACATTGACATGAATCAGCCATGGATTTACATGTGTCCCCCATCCCGATCCCCCCTCCCACCTCCCTCCCCATCCCATCCCTCTGGGTCTTCCCAGTGCACCAGGCCCGAGCACTTGTCTCAGGCATCCAACCTGGGCTGGTGATCTGTTTCACCCTTGATAATATACATGTTTCAATGCTATTCAAAGTTCATTTTTTAGAGTTCATTTTTAGCCTAATACTAGTTTTAGATTTCTACTAGTTAAGTAAAATACTAATATATAAAAAAATTGATCACCTTTATGTTAACATTTACTTAATATTTATCTAAGGACTTCTGCTTTATTTTCAGAGAAAAAATGTGTATTCCTTTATCCACAATTTAAAATTTATATAAAAACAAATAACTCCTTGGGTGCTAAGATGAATTCACTATACAATTGAAACTAGAAGTGAAGCCCAGTGAACACTGCAATAAGCCACATCAAAATAATCAGTTCATTTTTCAGGTAATCTGTACTCAGGGAAATCAAATGACTCAAAGATTCTACATCTTAAATATATTTGGCTACATTAAACAAATGCTTTCCAACAAAAGTATTATAAATATTTACTAAAATATTGGAAGTGTGCCATCTCTATTTATGGGAAAGTTTAAAACTAGTATATACATTATAAATGCTCTGGAGAAATGGACATTTAGAAAATAAATTTGAACATGAGTCCATAAAGAGTACACAAGAAATACCATGTTCAAAAGTTCCGCATCCAGAGGAGAAAGGAAAACACGTGTGCTGCGTTATTTTTCATTAACTGAAAGTATCCACAATTATCTGCAGGGACAGTTTTCCTGAAACTAATGTTAAACAGAAATTTGGGCCAGTCACAAGCACAGTCAGACAAATGATTTCTATTATATGATCCTATATTTGGGGGAAAACGGGGAGTGATTGGTATGGCACATGTGACAGGGTGTTTTAAAAGGTTTTTCTAAAGCCTAGAATATTAAGCAGTCGGGATTTGAGCACGGAGAGAAAAGATGCAGTGAGTTGTGTGCCGCAGAAGTTTCGTGAACAATTTCCAAAACATTGATAAAGCAAACTTATCTATAAGCCTAGAACAAGTGCATGCCTAAATAGCTTGGAAGGGTTTGTACGTTCTTTACAGTCCAAGATGGATTTTCACCCTGCAGATTAATCCACCATAGCCTCTTTAACTGCTCTGCATGGACTTCTGGATGGTAGAGGAGGGAGAGAAACAGAGGGTAAGTCTTTTAAAGCAGATGATGGGAAGCTGAGGTCCACCTTGCCTTACAGGCACCTGATTCAAGGTCCTGTGATACGGGGCAGACTGCTTTCCTGTAGCACGTGGCTTAGCCAGATGCTGACAACATCTGAGGTTGTGGGCTGGAAGCTTTAAAAGAACAGACAGGGGAAGCAGAAGGACATAGTAAAATACCCCCACTTTGCTGTAGACATGCACAGCAAAGTTCATTTGAATATTTCCATTTATTTTCTTTTTTTACATTCATGCATGACAACGTGAAACAAATCATAAATGTGAATTGCGATATTTTTTTCTCTTTTGTGCATTGCTACATCCTATCCACATATAAACAGGTCTTCTGCCTAGTTCTGTAAATTAGGTTGATTTGGAGCATAGCCATGGCCATTTGTTTACAGATTGCCTGTGGCTGCTTTTGGGTTGTGAAGTTGAGACAGATGCTACACAATTTAAGGAAAATACACAGCATCCATGCTACTGCAGGTGTCTTTCATGATCCAGGGGCAAAAGATGGTCAGAATTACTTCTTCCTTTAGTGTCAACACATCGAGAATAAGTGAGGCAAAAATAAAACTAAATCAAAAAAGGAAATAGAAAAAAGACAACTTAAGAATGAAGAGATGGCCTCCAATGTAGACTGCTTTCCTATGTAAATAGGAAACATATTTCTGGTACCTTTTGTCCTAGCCCAGGTGGAAAAGACAGTTTTCAGCTATACTCATCTTTTATTCTTATTATTCACATCTCATAAAAAAAAGAGCATTCATCTCCTTGAATAATTTTCCAACATCAGCTATTTTGCTTTCCTCTTAAGATCAATTTTTAATCAAGGACTCACTGCGCATCTTGGGTGGCCATCACAACACATAACCTTGCTGGGTTTAGCAATCATTACCACGGAGCTGATTTGCCCAGTCTACACAGGACGGTGGACGAGGTACAGAGCTCATTAAGTTTGTTTTCCAACGTTCACCCAGCTTTACAAATGAGAACAGACACCAGCTTGTATACACAGAAATCAGAATGTTGAAAGGTTTTTGTTATTAGTTTTCTTCTGTGTTTTTCTAGAAGAGATCTTTGAATAGTATTTGTAATTCCCTGTTTCCTATTATCCATCCTATAGGCTGTTGAATTATTTAAGTACTTAGGAGAGAAGAGGAGGAAGAAGAAATTTAACTACGAATGTATCTGAAGAGAAGATCAAGGAGAAAACCAGGGTGAGTTGGTAGAAAGCTGCCACAACTCAACTCCGATAGAGCTATGTATGGTACCTGTCACAACTTGGATATGAAGAGACTAACACTTTGAGATGCTAAGTTGAACGAGGTTTATAATTAGTTCCTGGTGTGGCTAATTCATTTTACCCCACCAATCATTCTCTTTGATATCCCCACACCTGGACTATGAGGCACAGAGGATTCATCTGATGATTAGAATCCTTCCTACCAACCTTAGCTTAAAATATGAGCTGGTAGCTCTTGCTTTCCAGTGGGTTATTAATTTAATGAAATGCTCAGACTAAATGTAAGCATCAGAGCATAGGGATAAAATAACCATATTCAAATAAAGCAATTTCACACCCTTTGAAATATTGCTCTTTCTGCAGCTTCACTTTTATATGGAGTGTGTGACAATGAACCTTCCTTGTTGGTGATTAGACGCTTCTGTGGATTGTGTGGAAGTGGCTGATTTGATGAACGCCTTGAGACTTCTCAGAAAATTCAAATGACATTACCAGGTTTCTCTTGTGTATTTTAAACCTTTTCTGAATTCCTGAATACTTCTGAATCCTGTGTTTTATAACTCAATTTGTGTAGCTTCTCTGGGGATGACGGCAGAAAGGTTCAGATTCTCTGAGATTTAATCCACCGTGATGCAAAGGCTAATACTGAATATATGTCAAAATAGTGACATTGTAACAAATTACAAAACACATTTTAACGATCTCCCTCTCAAAAATATTCAAATGTAATCTCTATGCTTGCCATGGTGAATTTTTCTTTCAGTAACAAAGTATATGTAATTTTGGTTTGAGCGATACCTCCAAAGCTTTCCATTTTTTTCATTTTTATCATCAACCCAGGCTTTGAATCATTTTAAAAGGTTTTTCCAAAGACCTCTCCTTTTTAACTTTTAATGAAGAGGAGAGTTTGCTGAGGGCCTGCTGAGGAACCTTGGACCAGCACAACCTGAGTTGCCTGTGGACTCTCAGTGTGACCTGGGCTTGTTATCTGCAATCCTGGAAATGGGAAGGATGTCAGATTTCTCAGGCCAGCTGTGAACTCAGGAGCTTCTACCTAGATCTGGTGGGAGGGAGGTAGTAGTAAAAACCAGCTCAGTGTTTGGTCTGAGTGCTCACCTCCACCCATTGCTGCCCTTGCTGGGTGCAGAGATGACTTAAGTTGCACCTGGGTTCCTAGGAATTACTATGAAGGAGCAGCAAGGACTCTCCTCCAGGAAAGAGCAGCACATGTCTGAGCTCGTCATTTCTTGTCTCTGTAATCCAAGTGTGGCGGGGGCCACAGAAAGCATTTGACTGGCCCCTCTAGTGGCTAAATGCACATTGTTCTACTATTTTTATAATGAAAGTAGTTCATCTTCAACGAGAGATCCTCTCATTAACCATGGATACTGATTAACAGCTAAGTACACGGATCATAAATGGCCCATTTTCACAGAGGAAGAAAAATATGAATTTCCTTATTTTTTAATTATTGAAGAGAGACATTAGGATTTAAAGGTAACCATTAAGAACATCAGTTTTCACTTCATCATAAAGGTGAGAATATGAGTTTATGCAGAATGCTTTCTAACAGAATGTAGGGAAAGCTAATTTGTTCTGGAATATATCATTTTAAAGTTTTAATGTTTTACTTAGTGTTAATCTGAGAAATTTTTAGAAATTAAAGATTAGTGAACTAAATTCTATTTTCAATTTAATTTCAAATTTATAGGCATAAAGCTATGTTTGATTTTTTCAATTACCTACGCTAGATAGCAACTATCACACAAGCATGCACACACACATTTGTATTTTTCACATAGAACATTAGTAGTTTATTGTCACTGAAATTATTTCTTACTGCAGAAATAAATATAAAAGATTAAGAGATACCTAAATAATTTCTGTGCACAAAAAAATTATTGTATAGCCATGGTTTAAAATTAAGTCATAAATTTTGTGATGAGTAGATCTCTTAGGTCAGATTTTGTTTTCCTTAAGAAATTTGCTAACAATACCTTCATTTAAGTGTCAACAAACAAGATAGTTTATCTTGATCTAGTGATGCTTTCTTTATCCAGAGGGAAATACGTATGTAACTTATACTATTTCAATCTTATCCAAGACTCAGAGGATCTCAGCCAGGGCTGCCAAAGATTGAACTATTGCTAAAGCAGCTACAAATCTCTCTTAGCCTTCAAGGTCTTATTCATCTTTACAGACCAAATGGCCAAAAGAAATACTGTGATGAGGAGAATGCTCTATAAGTTAGTCTATCTGCTTTGGTAGCCACCAAAGATTATTAAGCACTTTCCTGTTTCATTTTAAATTCAGGAACCGAAGGAACAGTCAAAATCTCAAGGGAAATGAGGACTATTAAGTTCCATACCTCATAATCATTAACCCTGTTGGTATGGAGGCGGGCAATGAAGTGGTCATTTAAAGATTTTGCTGACTTGCTCACTGTTGGCAACTAAGGAATTTTAAAGCTGACCTTATTTTAGTTAATTTACTTTTAAATTTAAATAGTTACATAAGGCTAGCAACTACCTTATTATTACCAGAGGCAAGCCCACCAATGGCATAAACAAGTGACAATTAGCAGTTTGGCAACAGAGAATTAGAATAAAAATCATACAAAGCAAACACAAGAGTTAAGAAGCATAGCAGTTCATTTCAGGCTTGTGGAGAACAGTAGTGATCAGGTATAACTATTATGACCTCTGAAGGTGTCACAGATCAGGGACCATTATAGTAAGTGGTGGATTTAGCAGAAATTTCTAAGGTTAGCAGATCTGAATTTCATGACACACTCTGGTCAAGGTTCCCTTTGACCCAGAAAATGCATCCAAGCATCCCCAAACTCAATCTTACATATAAAGACAATTTTTCTTACCTGCCATCACGCCATAGGTCGATGACTGGTTTCCATAATGACAGGAAGGAACAGAATAATGAAGTCCTGTCGCTGTGTTTCCCAATGTTGTCACCACAAAACATGTGCACAGACATTTAGGAGTTTGGATCAAAGACAAAATAGACGGGACTGGTAAGAAAATGTATGAGGATTCAAGACACATTCGTTTCATTTCAGAAGTACACATTTATGCTGTTCTTAAAGTTATATGCCAATAATTTGTTCTCATGTGGGGGCAGTTCTCTGATGAGTATGCTAAAACTAGGGGTTGAAATTTTTCTCAAGTAACGAGTTCATGAGATCGTCACAGTGGACTAGAGCCTTCGTTAATTATCTCCAGTGCTCTGGTTGGCGTGACTGACCAGTTTTAACCTTGGTGGGCTACAGTCCATGAGGTTGCCAAGTGCCGGACATGACTGAGTGATGAACACATGCACACACTGGAAGCTGCAGAATTCTGGCAGGTTTCACCCAATACAGGCATTGCAAAGAGCTGAACAGAGGAGAGTCTCTTAAAATTCCCATATAACCTGGTACCATAAAATTGTCTTTTTCTGGAGGAATGAATACAGAAATCAGCTCTTCATGTGTCTTTACTTTTACTTCTGCTTATTCACCTAACAAATTTCTTCCATCAAAGAGAAAGTGGCAGAGCCACTAGCCTTTTATTGGGTATGATCATAAAACTCCATTAAATTCAGAGGTTTACACAAACTGTGACAATGTACAATGTATTTCAGGCTGGTATTGAAACCATGAGCTTCTAAATTTTCTGCATGCACACAATTAATTGAACAATTCTAATGACGAAGCTGGTCAAAAAATAAGTTCATTGATCATTGAGTAACTAGAGGTTTATAAAGGTTGAATCTAGCATATAACTTGGAGAAGGCAATGGCAACCCACTCCAGTGTTCTTGCCTGGAGAATCCCAGGGACGGCAGAGCCTGGTGGGCTGCTGTCTGTGGGATCACACAGAATCGGACATTACTGAAGCGACCTGGCGGCAGCAGCAGCAGCATATAACTTAACTTCACTTATAAATAGCTACAAGTCTCATTGAATTAAGGTGTACTTTGAAATTAAATTTGATTTACTTAACTTTTATCAAGCTTTAAACATGAATCACAATGAACTACTAACAATAAAATCACTAATCAATGTTTTCTTATGTATCTTATTTTCTACTTTTTCCCATTATATCCTGAATAGAGTGATGGATTTTCAAAAATATAACTGTATCTTCTTGAATAATATGAGATATTAGAAGAGATTTAGAATCCTTTTTGAAAATATGTAGTCTATCAATTAAAGACATGAAGTAAAACATTTTCTCTAACTATAACTCATTTTTAATATTTTAAAGTATCTATATAAATTTTCATTTTACAACTGACACATAGAATTGAAGTCATTTTGTGTTATAATGATTTCTATGCATTCCAAAATTAAACAAACATGAACTTCACGAATATCCAACTTCTCCTCTCATTATAATCATTTCTAATTCTTTATCTAGACAATTAAATATATATGATTACAATTTGATGGAGAAATTATAAAATCAATGCTATTGCTATTTAAAACAATAACAATAGTCATGTAGGACATTTTTACTAATTATGAATTTTTTTACTTCCAAGGTTTAAATTCCTTTTGTTTTGCTGATTTGGGGAAGTCATATAAATGACAAGCTAATTTACTAGATACATTATTTACTTTTAATTTTATTTATTTTAAAATAAATAGTGTTTTGATCTTAGACCTGCTTAATTTTAACCTCAATTCCAATGTTTATTCTAGCCAAATAGTATCCATGTACAGTATATTGTGCAAACAATGCATTATCCTTCTCATTCTCAATCTATTTAAATGTCCATTACTTAAAATATACAATTAGCTATGTGATAGTTGTATGGACAGACTTCAGGAGATAGTGAAGGACAGGGAGGTCTGGCATGCTGAAGTCCATGGGGTTGCAAAGAGTTGGACATGACTTAGCAACTGAACAATACCACAATATGTGATAATTGTTTGAATTTACCTATGCCACACCTCTTCATAAAAATACTGTATTACATTGTTTTAAAACCATGTTTGAGGATATTTGCATCAGTACATGTTTAACTAAATTCTGAGACTCTTCAGTAGATAAAAAAACATCTCTACATTAATAATTTTCCCAAAATCTAGATATATGATCTTCAGATACTTGAAAATTCTGTTGAAGATTAATACCAAATTTACAAATAACTTTCAAAGCTGCTTAATTATAACAAAATATAAGGCTAAAATATTTTAAATTGGCATATAAATGTATCAACTCAAAGTTGATTTTTAAATTTATAAAATTTAGTTCATATTTAGATTGCTTTACAAGTGAAAAGTGCTATTAAACAGACATTTACCCAAGACTTTGTTTATTAATCAAAGCCCTTTGTTACTAAATAAAAAGTGGACACGTTAACAAAACATACTTATTTGCTTGGTTGTGTTTGAGACCATATATTTGAATTAAGCTTAATTTTCATCCACGAAAGTTATATAAGAAAATAAAAAAACTTGGCTAAAGGTTGAAATCTCTTCAGAACTAAATTTTGAAAAAATTCAAATCAGCTCATGGGTTCTAAATATTATATTGCCTCTAGCCTAGATGGGAGGGGAGTTTGGGTAAAAATGGATATGGTACATGTATGGCTGAATTCTTCTGCTGTCCATCTGAAAATATCACAACATTGTTAACTGGCTATACTCCAATATAAAATAAAATGTTTAAAAAATAAACAAATAAATATTGTATTGCCTCTAGACTTTATTTCTGAGTTTTTAATTATTCTAAAGAAGTTAAGTGTATTTAAAGTGAAAGTGTTAGTTGTTCAATTGTGTCCGACTCTTTGCGACTCCATGGACTGTAACCTGCCAGGCTCCTTTGTCCTTGAACTTTTCCAGGCAAGAATAGTGGAGTGGGTTGCCATTCCCTTCTCCATGGGATCTGCCTGACCCAGGGATCAGACCTGGGTCTCCGATATTGTAGGCAGATTCTTTACTGTCCGAGTCAGGTGTATTTAAACATCTAATTATTTTATTCTTTGAAACCCACTGTTACTGGTATTAGGAATCATTCAGTTGTGTTTACTATGAGGTGTATGGCATTTTCTAGACATGGTAGTAAATGTAATAAAAAACCAAATAAATCTATAAGATGAAAGAAAATCACCTTTTAAATTATTTTACACTATTTCTTTAGTTTTACTCTTTATCCATACATGCTTGCATAGAAATGGTTTTCAGGCTCACTGTTTACTTTTATAGAAGACAGAACTTTATAATAAAATCAACAATACTTGAAATTACTACACTTACTAATATTTCTTGAATATTTTCTTAGGCATTTTGGCTTCTTTTATATCCTGAATATTTAACTTAATAAACATTAAAATTAAAAAAAAAATGAGATTCTAAACTAACAAGATTCAAAGCACCCATCCTGACATCTTAAAGTGCAGCCACATGTAGACCTTTATTGAAGTTAGTACCTGTGGACATCACGTTGGTGGCGTGGTTGGAGACCGGTAGGCACTCCGCAGCACTGGGATGCATTATCAGAGGCAGAGTTGCAGAAGACTCAGAATTCAGAGGTATAAAGGTATCAGTCGAAGTAAAAGGTTGGCAACTCATTCCCACAAAAGAATAGAAAACGGAGAAGAGATGCCACTCCTCAAGTCAGTTTTATTATATTACCATCTCAAAGGGCCGTTTCAAATCTCACTACCTGCATATATACATCAGGGAGGCTCTGAAGCACCAAGAGAGCGCATGCTGGTATTTATACTGCAGGGAAATCCCTTTATACATGTTAATCATCTTTTCCCAGGGGTATTGCTTTATCAATCTGGACAGTCTTCCTTCTTACCCAAACATAATCCATGCCCAAGAGGGGAAGCTGGTTCTTGGGTAGGGACTGAAGGCAAAGGAGAAATCTGAAACTTAATTTGACAACTTCAGTGATTCAGACCTTTCAGAAAGGAATCAAGAACTTAAAAAAAAAAGTCTCCCTCAAAGAAATAATGCTGCAATGAATTGAAAGATACTGGGTGCCTCTTTGCTACGAACACAATGACAAATTTATATGAATGAGATTTTTTTTCTTTTTTTTCTGATAATTTCATTAAATCTGAAAAATAACATAAAGGTACAGGACACAATTTTAAGCAGACTCTTTAAATTTAATTTGAAAGAAGCATAGAAGACTAAATGTGAGAATGACTATATTACTGACTACTGATTCAACAGTGCAATCCTGAAAAACTGTAAGAACAATTGAACTTTTCCTATATCATAAATAGGAAATGATAAAATATTAAAGTTGGAGTCATTTGTAGACAAGATGAACAGTATCTCTCCCTTGATTTCAATTTGCTCAACCAGATGTACTCACTTAGTGAGCTCTTAGTAGATGTCAACACTGTTCTAGTCACTTTCCACAGTTATGTCAGCAAATTTCACATCTTTGTGAGATCTGTACCATTCTCACTAAGCTTAATTCTGCCAGAGCCTCTGATCTTAGCCATTCTGCTCCAGAACCTTCACTGGGCAGAAACTTTCCACACAAATTATATTGACATTATAAGACTAAGAAAAAAATACTATAAATAATTGTTTTGAAGATATTTATCTGTATGACAAGTTCACAATGATCATGGTTTCTACATATAAGTAAATGAATGCAATACTATCTTTAGAATGTATACTAGGGACCATATAGGGATGAGATGTAACCTGACAAGCATAGATATTATTGACATAATCAAGAATTTGTGCTCCATTCGGTTTATTTTGAAATTTTATATCATGGAGTTTTTAACTTGGAGCTGGTTGCTTCGTGCTAAATTTAATATTAATGTTCATGAGAATACTCTTTAAAAACTTGAAATTTGAATGCTTTGTCATTAACCAATTATTTTGTAGGAAAAAAAGATAGATATTGCATGAAAAATATTTATTCTAAAAATGACATATTTTTCATTCTGAATTCTCTTTTAAGTTCCATTAGTCTTCACTAATGAGAGAAGAAGGTTACATATAACCAAAACTATTTATTTCACTCTTGCAGAATTCTTATAATTTTTAGATTTCATATATACAAAAATGTATTTGAAATACAGTTTAATTAAAAAAAATTTAAGAAAATTTTTATAAAGAGAATTTGCTAAGAAAATTTAGTTAAAAACTTAAACTAAATGGTATTTAGAAAGAATAGCACTTCAAAGTTTCTCCTAACAATTTTGCTATAGTTTAGGTCATTGGAATATGTCAATAAGTTATATCAACCCAATAATAAAGAGGAGCACTGTAAAACTTGCCTGGAACAGCAAGAAAGAACTTCACCAGTATTTGCCATGCTACCTAATGTTCTAAAATTGCAATTTTATACATAATTTCTTTAATAATGATTTATTACTTTTTGACTATTTATGCTGTGAAGTGGAAACCACACTGTTACAGTTAGAATTGTGTATAGCCAGGAAATAGGTGTTCCCATTATAATCTTTATTTAGCACTGTAAATTATTAACTTATCAGATTTTTAAATCAGCTTTTGTAAATAGTTTTCCTTTTGCTGATTATTGAACTATATCAATAATACAATTTAGCCAGTTGTCTACTTTTCACTATTTCTTTATTGTTTGTATCACTTTTTGCTTTCACTTCTATATGTGTGTGTCAGGTTGCTTCAGTCATATCCAACTCTTTGCGATCCTACAGACTGTAGCCCACCAGGCTCCTCTGTCCATGGGATTCTCCAGGCAAGAGTACTGGAGTGGGCTGCCATGCTCTCCTCCAGGGGATCATCCCGACCCAGGGATCGAACCCGTATCTCTTATGTCTCCTGCATTGGCAGGCAGGTTCTTTACCACTAGCGCCACTTTTATACATATATATATATATATATATATATATATATATATACACACACACATATATATATATATATATACATATATATACACACATAACAATGCAGTTAACTCTTTGTTCAAATTTTTTTTTTACACAATGCATTTTTACAATTTATCTGTAGGCTTGTTTTGAATATCTCTCCTTTAGAGTGGGTTCTTAGAAATGGAATTATGAGTTTGCCTTATGATATTTTTAAAGTTCTTGAAAACAGTCTCAAATTGCTATAACAACAAAAGATTTTTTAAAGGGCAGTTTTAGGTTCATAGCAAAGTGGAGCAGAGGGCACTAAAGGTTCTTGTATGCACTCTGCCCCCACACATGCACAGTTCTCCTCACTCTCAATATCTTGCACCAGAGTGATATATTTGTTACAACTGATGAACTGATTTGTTGTAACTGATTTGTTACAACTGATAATGATAAATCATTATCACCCAAAGTCCACAGTTTATACAAACATTCACTCCTGTGTCTTCTACTAGCTTGAACAAATGTTTAACCGATGTGTATCAACTATTGTAGAATCATACAGAAGAGCTTCACTGCCCTAAAAATCCTCCCCTTGCTCTGCCTATCATTCTTCCCTTCCTCCTAACCCCTGGCACCACTGATCTCCATAGTTCTGTCTTTTCAGAATGACACGTGTTTGGACTCAACAGTATATAGATTTTTCACATTGGCTTCTTTCACTTGGTAGCTATGCATTTATGTTTCCCCTAGACCTTTTTAGGGTTTGTAGATCCTTTGTTTTTAGCTCTGAATAATGTTCCATTGTTTGGATGTGCCGCAGTTTATCCGTTAACCTACTGAAGGACATCTCCTTACTTCCAAGTTTTGATGATTATGAATCTGTGCGCCCAGTTGCTTCAGCTCTTTGCTCTTTGTGTCTAACTCTTTGCTACCCTGTGGGCAATAGCCCCCCAGGCTCCTCTGTCCGTGGAATTCTCCAGGCAAGAATACTGGGGTGGGTGGCCATGACCCTCCTCCAGGGGATCTTCCTGACCCAGAGATCGAACCTGCATCTCCTGTGTTTCTTTCATTGCAGGCGGATTCTTTACCCACTGAGCTATGTCGGAAGCCTGGCAATTATGAATATGGCTACTATAAACCTCGGGCTTCCCTTGTGGCTCAGTGGGCCCGCAATGCTGGAGAGCTGGGTTCGATCCCTGTGTTGGGAAGATCCTCTGGAGAAGGGCAGTGCTACTCACTCCAGTATTCTGGCCTGGAGAATTCCATGGACTGTATAGCCCACTGAGAGACTTTCACTTCCCCTTTCAGTATAAACACCTGTGTGCAAGATTTTGTGTGGACATAAGTTTTCAGCTCTTTAGTGTACATACCGAGGAGCAAGATTGCTGGATTGTATGGTAAGAATGTGTAATTTTGTAAGAAACTGACAAACGCTTTTCCAAAATGGCAGTACCATTTTTCATTCCCACCAGCAATGATGAAACTTCTGGATGCCCTACACCCTCACCAGCATTCAGTGATGCCAGCATTTGGGATTTTGACCATCCTTTTGACATGAAGTGGTATTTCCTTGTTTTATTAATGTACTATTCCTTTTGTTGAATTTTACGGGTTCTTTATATATTTTGGCTAACAATCCATTATCAGGTATGTCTTTTCTCAGCCTGCAGCTTGTCTTTCAAGCTGCTTTTCAAACAGCTTGTTCTATGATGATTTGGTTTCTTTCAAATATCAGGATCAAGTTGAACAAAAAATAGTTGTTTGTTCTTAAGTAACACAGAGGTTTCTTAGAACTCACAGAGTAGGGGCCATAGGGAGACACAGAACAGGAAATGAAAGTCATCCGCCATGTCGCTTTGATTCTTCTGTTTCCTTCACTCTGTGTCTCTCACCTTCCCACTTTTCACACCACAGCCTAGGCTGAGTACATCTACGGCCACCGCACAGATCTCCAGATCACACCTTAAACTTTTAACCAAGAGGTTACTGTCTGTTCCTCAGTCTACCTTTATGAGAGAGACAGTCTGACTGGCCATGGCTTTTGTTGTGTTCCAAAAGAACAACATAGTTCCTGCTATAAACACTTGTGAATGGATTGGTTTGCCCGGAAAGCTTTCAGGCATTTGTAGACAATGAGGGATGAAAGGATTGTTAACTGGGAAGACATCCTCAAAATGTGACTGATGCTGTTCCACAACTTCAAAATAACATTAGTAAAATAAAACTTACACTTTTGCTGCATTCTCAGTGGTATTAATAAAGTTTAATCACTTAGCTCTATTTGTCTCTTAAGACAGTAGCATTTTACTAATTTAATTTGTATTTTATTGCTAATATGCTACTTTTGCATATTTACATTAGCTATATGTATTTATTGTTTTGTTAACTAACATGTTATATTTGCCTTTTTACTTAATATTTATTTTATTATCAATTTGTGATTTTAATATATACTAAGAATATTAGTTTTCATTGTTTCCATCATTTTATGGTTAAATTTTTTAAAATTTACTGTCTTTTATGTTTGTTTTGGGCATTGGCATAAATAATGTTTTGCACTTGAACTAAATATGTTGACCATTTCCTTTGTGCATTTCTTAATGATTTTAAGTTTTAAAATTCATTTTTTGTCTAGAGGTTTTGTTTTTGTTCTGTTGTTTTTTTATTATTTTGAAGGCTTAAAAAATTCCTGTAACATTTTAAGCTGGCACATGCATTATGTTTCTAGAGTTGATTGATTTAAAATCT